AAGATCCACCCTGTACAAGGCACGGGGGACACTCAAGGTAGAGAATTACAGAAAGAGGTAGTTTATGCAGATAGTAGGGGGAAGATGATTAACCCTAGACTTGAACAGGTTAAGATTGTAGTGATTAGGGAAACATCCTCTTGGGAGTTGGTTCCACAGAGTAGTAGTTTGCAGAAAGCTGTTCAAGTTGAACTTACTTCTCACCAATGAAATATGGGGGGAATATGAGTGGTTTGCTCCAATGTGATTGGTATGGTGGGTCCTGGCCAAGAAGGTTAGAACTGGTGGAACCAAGGAATGCAGTTTGTCCGAACACTTTCCATGGAAGTAGCGACACCCTGTCTGTGAGAGAGAGGTTGAAGAAAATAATTTGTCAGCTACAAGGACTCCGAGATGCTTTTGGACTCTATCAAGACTGGAAAATGAGGACTGGAATGTAACTAGCCAATTAGTCCCCCACTGAGAAGTTAGAGCAATATCAGATTAGAGATTAGCTGCCAATTTCTCATCATCATTGGTTTTGGAGGTGCAACCATATATATTGTTATATCATCAGCATCAATATTCACAAATTATGTGAGTATTATTCTTAGGCAGATCATTTATGTAAAGTAAAAAGAAGTTGGCTTGAGAAGTGACCCCTATGTTGATTGTTAGGGCTCTGGTTGACTGGCCATTAACAACTATCTTCAGGGATCTACCCATTAGGAAGGACTTTATAATTGAGAAGACCCTCCCAGTGATTTCATACCTGGAGAGCTTGAGCAGCAAACCGTTGTGCCACACCTTGTCAAAAGTTTTTTGAAATATTTAATGCTATGGTCCTTGTAGTCGTCATCAAGAGCATCACTAATTCTGTGAGTAATTGTAGTTAGGTATAGGGTACTCTATGAGATCGCTAAAAACAGAGCATAGCATGATGAAAAAGATGCCAAAGTTGATGAAAACAAAATTTTAGCGTCTAAATGCTTATGTTATTATTGAGAGGAAAGATCAAAGTATTTTTTACTTATTTTTAAAATTTTTTCCTTCTTTTTTAGAACATTGTAAATTTTGATTAAAAAACCTTGTTTCTCTTTTTATCAGGTTGGCTGATAAAATAACATATAAAAATTTTCGCGCGTTTTTTTCCTGTTTGACACACATTAATTTGGAAAATCTTGCAAAAATAAAAATAATTGTCGGATTTTAATGAAACTTTCAGAAACTATTCACAAATGATGGAACTTATTAGAAATATATATTTTTTTAGTAAAGTCATCGCAGAATTTTTTTTTTTCATATGTAATACCCCCCCCAACTAATTGTGCGAAAACTCTATAATTTCAATTTTGAGGAGTTTAGTGATTATATTAGCTAAAAGCACAGTGCTTTGAGGAAACAAAATCATGTTTTTGTTTTTTTTTTTTAGTTGGAGCCCTCTACCTGAAAAATCGTCTCTGAAGTGTAACATACAAAAACTCAATAAAACAAAAATATTATTTAATTTCAAAAGCTTTTAATTGCTTTTATTTATTCCAATAAACATGGACAATATTGTCTGAAAGCAAAAAGATATTTCGATGAAAAAATGAATTTTTAAAACAATTACCTACAATTATTTTTTATTTCTGCAACCATTGTTTTATTTTTACATTATGTTGTTAATTCTTCTAAAATTATGGAAAAGCTTGTACAGCTTAACGGATGTTGTTTTTAAGTAGATATATATTTACAGATTATAATTCCCAAAGCTTATTACAAACTAATGAGTCTTCGTATATTAAAAAAATTAATTTGTCAATAACGTGTTTACCAATGAAATCTACGGAAGACCGGAAGTTTGGTGCGTGCAATAAAAATAACGTCACGTGGATTGAGTTTCTGTCTAATATTTAAGGGTTGTTCTTCGCTGTATACGGCCCCTTAATTTAGCAAACTGTTCCTGCTGAAACATGTGTGCATCATTTTCATTAAGTTAAAATAGGTACTTTCATCTAGTGTTCATTGTAGTCCTGTAATGTTTGGTTGAAATCGGTTAAAAAATGTAGGAAATTCGATCCAATATGTAAACGTAACACACACAACCTGGGTTTTATAATAAGTAAGATTCACATTTTGCCTCTAGAAAACTAAAAACTTTTCAGTCATTTACACTGGCCAATTTTGCTTTTAAATGAAACATATTGTTTGCTTTCAGAAAATACCTAGTTTCATGGGATTCAGATAAACTTTCCCTGGTATTTTTCCAGATAAGTCATTTTATATATATATATATTACTTAAAAATATAAGAATCCATTTATTTATTTTTTCCGAGAATATAGGCTGTGACAAAATGACTTTTACTATGTTTGATTATTTTACTGGGGATAGAAATTTTTTTTATAATAGCAAATCTGAATTGACTTTAGAGGGGGTCTATAGGCCCTCAAACAGCAGCAGTGCAGCACTTGTATTTTAATTTTTTTTAATAGTATTTATAATTTCTCCAGATAGTATCAACAAACTTATGGTTTTATAGTACTTAACAAAAAAAAATTGTAATGGCGAAAGTTTTTTTACTTTAAATATTACAAGTTACTACTTAAGTAGGTCCGCTTAAAAAAATAATATGTCCATTCTGTGCTTCCGTATGGGAACTCGAATCTCACGTCAGCTGTCAATAATTTATAGACGTCATCACTCAGCACTCTGTCAATCGACGGCGACGTTAAGATCGGCTCTTTTATCTTTAAAAACATTTTTCTACGAAGAAAGTAAGTAAAAGTTTCTTTCAAAATATTTTAAATAAACTTCAAATTTTCTAAATTTCTTCAAATAAATATTGAAATACGTATAATTAATTTTTAAACGAATTTTAAACGAAGAATTTAACTTATTATTAAAATTTTAAAAAATATGGCTGATATAGAGCTTTTTTTGTTTTTTCTGTAAACAAGTTTTTTTAACTAAAATTTCGGACATGCTAAGAATGAGTAAAAAATTTCAAAAATTACTCAAAAAATACTTCAGTGTTTCTTCTCAATAATAAAATATACTTTTATCATGAAAAAAATTTTTTCCGTTAATTTTCAGACCGTTCTTGTCATGCTATCTATTTTCGCGAAAAAAAAATAGAGTTCCCTAAGTTAGGACATCAGCAGTGGAGTGTGCTGATCAGAACCAGTACTGCTTGTCACTCAAGAAGTTGTTCTTACCTAGGTGCTTAATGGCCTTCTTGTTGATTATAGCCTAAAAAAGCTAACTAATGTTACTAAGGAGACTATACTGAAAGGGGGAAGAGTGCTCACCTGTGTTCTTGAATACCAAGCATACACTTGACAATTTCTCCTTCAAGCAGCAGTTAAATAATTTCACTAAGATTGGGAATAATTCCAGGTTTATATTCTTAAGGATAGCCACTGGAATTTTGTCTGGGCCAGTAGCGTTCTTAGGGTCAAGACTTTTGATAACTCTTGAGATTTCCCATGCTGTAATGAAAATATTACTCAGATTGTGCTCAGTGAGTCATTAGAGGCTAAGAATGGGATGGCCTTTGTCATCTAACATTGAATTTGAAGCAAAGAGTTTCAGCTTATTTGTCAAGGAAGATATGACTTTGGGACCGTGACCTGGATTGCTTGTGCATGGGTACACTTTGCATTTTAATCATTGCATCCCAAGCAAGGTGATAATGCCACTACGATGCAAGGGGTTACTGAGAGTAGAAGAGAATGAGAAGACTTTAGTGAGGAGAAAGGACAATAAAAAAAATGGATTCAGGAAGATAGAACATTGCAATTTAACACTGCATTTAATTTTTTTAAGGTTTTACATAGCAGGGGAGAAAAAAAAAAAAAAAAAAAAAAAACAGGATAGAGTTCCATAGGTGAAAAGGGCAAGAAAAGAAACTATTAGAATTGGTTACATCTAGCTAGTTCAACAGTAAAACAATGAAACCTATAAAACATAAAACGACGATTGTGTTTTGTCAAAAATACTATCAACCAGGGTATTTCTGAAATATATTGTTTAAAGCACGTACAGCAAACAAAAAAAAAAAGAAAGAAAGAAAGAGAGATATACAAGATTTAAAAAAAAAAAAGATATTTCTTATTTTAGTTATAATTCCATGTTAAGTTTAACCAAAATTTAAAGCTTCTTAAAAAAGAGAAAGGAGAGAGAGAGAGAGAGAGATTTAAAAATATATTTTTACATGAAAAAATCCTTTGACCGTTCCTTTTAAAACAATAACAACGATTTTATTTTTGTTTGAGGAAAACTTTGTTTTTATTGAGTTTGGGGCATTTTTTTAACGGGTCTTTGGTTTGGAGGTACCTAAAAGCAGGCTGGCTCTGTAATTAGGGAAGGGATCAATATCAAGAAATGGAGCATTAGAATTTATAAATTAAATTTACATAATTTATCCCTATAAGTTTCGAGAAGACTACTCCGACAAGATTTGAACGTGAATTTTTCTTTAGAGGGGAGAGATCAAATCTCGCTGGCAAGTTTTCCGATCCATGCTGAACGGTTAGAGAATTGTAAAAACTATTTGATGGTTGCGGTAAAAATAAATAAATAAATATAAGAAACAAAGTGAAAGAAAAACTTGTTTAAAAAATAAATGAACAAATAAATGAAATGTTTTACGAATTTTTAAGAAATTCGGACACTAACTGGTTGTTACTTTGTATATAGCGCGATTTCAGAAGGAATTTTTAATCCGAGACAAATTTGTGTAACTCTGGATGTGAAAGATAATTTTTTGCAATATCCTACATTGTTATTAACTCCTTTAGACACGGAAAAATAAGATACGTATCTGGCTGTTTTTTTTTCTTCGACAAAAACAGAACGCACTTCACACGTGCTTACGGTTGAATTAGCTGCACGTGTGAATTCTAATTAACAATCTATGGAAAATAGGTAAAGCTACAAAAATACACATCTATTCATATTTAAAAACATAAATATTTTGCATAAGTAAAGAAATCTATCTATCTATCTATCTATCTAAAAACAAAAAAAAAAACTTACTCGAATCCTGATCATAACTACATGACATTGTAGCCGCCATTTTCCTTTTGATACAGAGCTAAGACAGAGTAATGATTTAATTTCGCTTTTTCTTTAGCCATTTTTGTTTTTAATTTGTTTCTTGTAACTGTAAAATAATAATTATTAATTAATGTTAAGAATATTTTACATGCACACAGAATAAATTTCGAATATCATTTTTTTTTATTTTTACAAGATTGACGAAAAAACTTATACGAAACGAGGACAACTGTTTTGTAACGGTCTAAAAAGCATTATTTTTGTTAACAGGTGTTTGATACAACTCATTTCTGCAAATCATAAAATTAACCTAAAGATTTATTAACTGAAAGAAGAAAGAAAGTAGAAGAATACCATTGTACTAAAAAGATAACAATTATTAATATATGTCTGACAATCAGAATTAAGAAGACAACAACAGAACACTTTCTTCTCTTACCAATTTCTGTCTGCTAATTTAATTAATAATGTAATTAATTGCAATGAGAAGCTTCTATTTTATTTTAGAACAACTCAACTTTTTCAGTTTCGTTCGCGTCACCATGACGTTTTCTTAGTCTTTGACAGTAAGAGAGTGGGAAATCACTTTCCTCATATGTACCCCCTTTCCCTTCCTCATTACTTAATACTTTTTAAATTCACTTTAATATGAATTGATAAATATCAATGTTATATTTTTAGATAAACAATAAAAAAGGACTCTTGCAACAAAGAATTTCTTTATTTACAATCATTTCTGTGAAAAGACGGGTATGTAGAGATTCAATTCCAAATATTCTTTTGTGTGCAAAAAAAGAGCTACCTAAAGAAATGTTACATTAGTTGCTAAAGTTTAAAAAATATCTTTGGTATAACATGGCAGCAAAATTCATGAGATGTTGTTCATTTTTTTTTTTGAGCCATTCATCACTGAGAGGTAAACATAGCAGCAGAAATGTCTGTTGCTGAGTGAATGTCATCTGTGGTAAACTCATAGAAGTTGGTACAGCCTTGCATAATTTGGTTGCAGTGAGCAAGTTGAACTGTGTCATAGAAGAAAATTTGGTGGGTTTGTTTCACATGTTCAAAATTGTTTCTATTACATTTTCATGTTAAATGGATTTGTTTGCTGGTCATATGGTCTTAGACCTGAATATCATCTTCTCCTCACTGCTGAAATATGTTGACCTCATCTGTCTTGACTATCCACTCTGAATCATGTCATGAATGAATAGTAATTAAACCAGATAGCTGCTCCCTTTATATTTTTGCTTGAAGACTCCAAAGCCACTTTTTAAAATTGCTGAAGGTTTCAAATTCCAGTCCTCTGATTGGTTGAAAATAATCCAGAGAAGGAGCTCTCTTCTCATTCTTTTTTTTTCTTAATATTCAGTTTTATTACCCAATACCAGACACAGTGTCATTATAATCAGGATCAAAAATGAGACTTATAAAAAAAATGTTCCATCCAAACACCTCACTGGTTGCAAAATCATCAGCATACTACTCACATCCACAACTCCCACTTGTAACTGCAACAACAACAAAAGTATGTAAATAGTAAAAAACAAATCTCAAATCTGAAAACCCCAAATCATGACGTCAAAAATAAAATGCAAAATAAGAAAAAAGCACCAACTTACAACAATACCTTACATTAAAGAAAACTAACAACATCAGTAGCAGCTGCTTGCAGGAACAGAGTTGCCAGCTTGAAAAACAGTTATTTCTTGTTTGGTGATAAAATCTTCCAAACAAAATGCAATAATGTCAATGCTGTTTTTATTCAATTTTCCATCAGGAAAAAAGATGTTACAAGTCAAGTGTATTGTGGCTTTAATAATTAGTCATCATTACAATTAATATAATAAATAAACTTCCAATAATCAGATTAAAATTTAAAACTGCAATTAACATTTTTACAAAAATGTTTTTGTATGTAAAGATGTGGATAAGTTAATTTTTGTAGATATATCTTTTCATAGTAAATTGCCTTATTATTTTAAAAGTTTGTAGAAATTAATATATCTGATAGTGAAGCAGTTCATACATTTTTAGTAAATTCCATTACTTACAATTTTCAGGAAAAAAGGAAGCATAAGTGTATTGACTTAGAAAAGCTGCATGTAGTTTCAGTGGCCGGTGAGTCTTTTTATCTCTCATTGCTTTGCTTATGCTATTAAGTAAAGGAAACCAAAACACTTTGTGTAGTTTTGTGTAGATGAGCTGGCAATTTTTTAATTGACTGACCAAAACATGTTGCAAAGTTTTGCATATATCTATTTTTTAAGACTTACAAATTCAAAAGTATTTGAATTTACTCAAAACAACAGTGACAGATCTAAATTTTTGCTTTTTAGATCTTGTATTCTGTTTTCTACTCTGTCTCCAAAATTTAAATCTTCCTGGAATCTACTATTTCAATATATATGTGTTTGTGTTTATGCTCCTGAAATTATTTTAGGATAGTTATTTCAATCATTAAATTTTGAATATTACCACAAGTTCTGCGAAGTTGTTAGGGTGTGTTCTATTAGTGCAATTAGCAGCAAAGTGAATTTTTTGGATTTGTCCATGACGTCACACATATTTTTGTAAGGACCACAGTTCATAACTTTTATCAATAACCAAAAGAATATTGGTCCTGACCTGACATCTCAGCTTCAGTCACTTTCCCACTGTCATTACGTATTATGATGAGCTTTCCTCTTTGATATCTATACTATGAATTTAAACATACTACTAGATTGGTGGCATGGTCTCATAATGTTACAATTGAAATGACTAGATGTAACCATAAGTTTCTTCTCTTGTGCTTCTCATTTGAAGAACTCTCTTCCAGCTTCTTGCTTTCCAGTCAACTTTGATCTTCAAAAATTTAAATGTAAAGTAAATTGTTATCTTCTGTCTTCTTAATTCCTGTTCTTTTATTGTTCTCTCTCCTTAATGTTTTCTTTTTCTCTTATTCTCTCACACTTAGTGAACCCTTGTCTTAGTGGTTTTAATGTCTTGCTTGAGGGTGATATGACTTTTTAAAAGAATTTAAAAAAACATACTTCAATAAACTTTTTCATTAAAAAAAATTGCATATCCTTACGTGAAGGTCCAAGCCAAAATAAATCAGAGTTACAGGGAAAAACAAAATTTGGATTAAAATAATTTAAGACTTTAAACACTTCCTTAAAATTATAAATATTCTTTTTAAAATTATTTTTACAGATATTTCCAGCTGTAAATTTTAGAATCTAATTAATATAAAATGTGCATAGCATTTATTAGTGCGGGAAGTGATCTTGATGATCGGAATTCAAGTTCTGGTCTAGTCTGTTGCATTCGCTTCACACTTATACTCTTGGGAAAAGTATGAATCTATATCTTCTCTCCTCAAATATGGGTTAAATAACAGTGTAGACTGGGATCTCTAGTCTTGGATGGCAGCCAGTATAAAAGAATTTATTAGTGATATAAAATAATTAAAAATATTAATTAATTAAAAAGTCTGCCTGCTGATTCCATTTTCTGCACCAATAACTGCTATGCCACCTCCACCTTCATCTGGTATTCATACATATAACAGAAACTTACACACTCGGTTTTCAAATCAAATTTAGGTCCTGCTCTACAGAGCTGCTTAATAGCACCATTTAATTTTTAGCAAAATAAAAATAAATATGTTTGCTGTTTTTCAATCGATATTGCTCTAATTTTCACTATAGTATTGGAAAAAAATGGAAAATTTTGAATAACTTAAAAACGTAATATTTATAGTAAAAGTTAAAATTAACTGAATGCAAATGTCTCCCATTTATTATTGTTAAAGAAGCTACAAACTGTGTCAGTAATGCATCTGCTTATCGATAGAGAGTGAGAACATTTTTTTTTTATTCAAATTAAAATTAGCACTACTGTTAAAAATTTCTGTTGGACAAAATTGCCACAAAAAAAGAAAGAAATGAAATAAAGTTAGCATTTATCAAAAAAGCGTTCTTCTATATGAGGATAACACTGTGCAAGTTTCCATTTGTGTAGAGCACTCTGCTAGTTTTTCTCTTTCTCAAGATCTATGAAAATATTCAGAGAAATCCATTGTATGCACCAGCCTTCTTTAGGTGGTTGGAATTTTGAATTGAACCCTTTATTTCGTCCTCTGGAGTAGATTGTTCTAGTCCACATGCTATGCCTCTTCCAGATGTCTCAGTATCAGTTATCTCACTTTAACTCAATTCTCCAGTTTTTTTTTTTACCTCACCTGTAGCCAGGTATTGAACCCACAACTCTTTGAGTCAAGTCACTGGATTCAACCAACGCTTTTATCCACTGGGCCATGTGTCCTTGAGAACTAGAACAATCTACCTCAGAGGACGAAATAAAGGATTCAGTTCAAACTTCCAATCACCTGTAGAAGGTCAGAGTGTACAATGGCCAAAACAACAAAAGTGAGGACAACAGTCCAAACAATGTAAATAGTGTAAATAATTACAATACCTAATCTCAGAAGTATAGACAAATATTGAGATATTTTGTTGATATTTTACTAATTTTAGATAACTTTATCAAAAGCTTTCTGTAGAGAGATATGTAGTTATAACCTATTAATGTGATAACCACTGCTCCATGGATTTTTTTTTTTTTTTTTTTTTTATGTAATGATAATGGTGAGATTAACCACTTCCTTATAAGGAAACATTCTACATGCATTGACGAAACAGTTAGCACTACTGTCAGTGGTTGAACTTCATAAAATCTTTCACTTAAAAAGTTTTTTTCAGGAAAATAGACTTCTCAAGTTCACTGTTATCACTCTTTCTAGTACTGAAAGAGATTTCCTTCCTAACATTTTGCTTAATGCAGTGTGGAAAGTAAATATCTTGATTATTACTTTCAATTCTATTTACATGTGCTACCAATTTCTGTTGTTTTGTTGCGATATTATAGCACCTGTCTACAGGGTGTCCCTAAAGTCTGGACACAAAGGAAATCTCATTAACTACACCCTTGTGCAAATTAATTGAAACACCCACCCTAGTTTCCTTTCTTTCG